GCCATATAGACCGACTGAAAACATCCATCTCTCAATGAAATATTAATAAAGCTCAATTTCTCTTGTGTTCTTATATTTTAGAAATAGAAATGGAACTTCTAGTGTTTTTACCTTGAGTCACACTGAATCACTTGCATGTCCCCAGAGAGGCACACCCAGCCTCACCAGCTCAGCATACATATTTGGAAGACCAGAGCTGTAAGCAACAACACTATTAAGCCTAGTAGTTAAGAATGATAATTTCCAAGTCTACATTTGAACTTGAATCTCACTCCATCATTTACTAGATTTGTGACAAGTTTTTGAACCTCCCTAAGCCCCTGTTTCTCAATTGCATGAAGAGTATAATGACAATATTCTAGCACAGAGGTGTAAAGATTGACCAAGTGTCCCAGCTCAATGACAGCTCATGGTTAGCCCTACTGCTGCCCATCAACGATGACCCTACACCTTAAACTCACCCAGTGAGGCTCTTAAAAGTCACAGGCCTTGACAACAGTGTCTTATTTCTTCATTATCTTTAACTTTTTCAAACTATACTCAAGTGGCCAAAAATATCAGTAAAATTTAATACATCCATAAACCACTTGCATAAACTCAATAATAGTTGAGGGGTTTTCTGTTTTCAGGCAAGACACAATGACATTCTATCCCTAGATATCTCAGCATGAATCTCCTGCAGGTAATAGCAATCTCCTACATGACCACAACATCAAGATCATGCTTAAGAAAATTAACAGTAATTCAGCAGCGCCAACGGCTCTCTGTTCTATATTCCCAATCTCCCGGTTGTTTCAAAACTCAGAGCTGTGTGCCTGCTTCCAAATCCAGGACTCAGTGAAGGTCTTACACTTGGCATTTGATTGTTGTGTTTTTAGTTTCTTTTCACCCAGAGCAGTCTTCCTGCCTCTGTTGATTTATTTATTTACTTGGGCTCTTTTGAAGAATGGAGCCAGTTGTCTTATGTAATGTCTCATTCATTGGTGTGTCTGATCATTTATTTAGGATACTACTGATTTGTTCCTCTATCCTTAGTATTTCCTTTAAACAAGACAGGAAGTAAGAAATCTGATGAGATTCAAGTAAAGTATTTGGGCACAATTATTTTTTATGTGAAATAGTGAGATAAGAGTGGCATTAGCAGTCACTCTGCCTTGTCAACTTCTTCCTTCTTTGTCTAGTTGTACAGTATGTAGGGTTAGGTACAAGAGGGTGCCACTGTCTTCCACAGAGCATTTTCATGGACCTTTCTGATGGGATTTAAACGGAGCGTGTGCATCTCTACTGAAGTCAGTCATGGAAATTGTCAGAAATAAGAAGGAACTCCACATAAATCCTAAATGAGGGCTCAGGTTTTCCCTGTGAACTCCAACAGTATATATTTGGATCAGATTCCATAGCATAGGTGAAAAAATTTATCACTTAGGTCTTAATAACATCAGTAATTCAACAGCATAGCTCATATACTATTGGACTAACAGTAAATAACATTAGCAAGTACCGTTGAGAGTTTCTTCATCCTAGAATAGTTCATTGGAGAAGCAGACAAAGAAACATTATTATAAATTTTGTATTTGATAGCGTTTGTCTCTACCACCTTTTTGTGTTGTTAATGAATTAGGGCTCCTTGTTATTGTCGGCAATATAGTTGTACCAAGAGTGCTGCTTAATCTAAAGCTCAGCTCACAGTTGTGTGCAGTTAAGTTCCCAGGAAAACCAAAACAAAACTCAGGTCTGGAGCTACAGTAAAGCAGTTACATAGATTGTTCAGAAATTAAAAAAAAAAAATACGTAAAACAAGAAAATATTTCTAAACAATGTGAGGATGGAAAAACTTTCCTGATACTGAAAAATAAGCTGCAATCATTCAGACATGCTTGGGAATCAAAGGCATGTTCTATTGCAGTGGCTAATAGCATCCATTTGTTCAGCTGTCTGCCTCAGCATCACAGTCTGGAGGTGAATTGGCCAGCTTCCCTGCAGAATGTTAAAACAGCATTTACATTTCTCACTGCTCCTTTGCTGTTATCTCCTTCAATTGAACAATGAAAACACACAGCTACCAAAATGCCAGAGCGAACATGTCCTGATTCTAAAATGTGCTGCAGTGAAAAATTACAGAGGACCACTCTCCCATCCTCATGAGGGGCTCCCCACGTGGCCAGGTATGTGTCCCCTTCTCCTTCCAGCTCTTTTGGAATGAAGATCACATGTTACTGAGATCCCCAGCTATTTAGTGTTAGTGATATCATCTATGACCTTGTAACGGAAGGGGACAATTAAAACCATTATCTCAGTTGACATTTATTAAGCACCCACTGTGTGCCGGGACACATGTGATGAACGCATCCCAGTTGACTTGCCAGTTTTTAGCACTGAAAATTCAGCATCCTGGAATTCCCAGACAACCTGGGATGGTTGGTTACTCAACCCTTTGCTAGGCACTGATAAGACAAATTGCAACCTTAATCCCCACCATCAAGAAGCACCAGGCTAAGAGAGAATTGGCAAAGTAAGGCAACCATCAGCTTGGAGAGATGAGTACCTGGATTGTCAGCAGCGCCCCATGCCGTGCAGATAGTTGAGTAAATCTAGCAGGGTGCCAGAGAATGCACTTTGAAGGAGACAATGCCTGAGCTTGATTTAAAGAATGAGCAGCACAACAGTCACAGTGAAATTTTACACTATGGAAAGAAGAGATGCCTGGGGAAAGACAGCAGGCCGCTGCATTCTGTCTGAGTCTCAGTACCCATACATCTGGTTTAGATCCCACGGCGTGAAGGTGGGATTTTTAATGTGGAATAAGCAAAAGGGAGAATATTCATTTTCACTGGGCTTTAATATGACACAGAATAAAACTGACAGTGTTTCAGTCCCAAAGATGGTGACTGTTTTCTGAACAACAAATAAATCTGTAATACCTATTTTACCCCCCCCAGAGGTATGTGTTAAAAAGAATGGAAATGAGTGGCTTGGGGTGGTGACCCTTATTAGAGATTAGGGACCCCAAATTAGATGCCATGAAGAACAAATAAAATGCAAGGAAGTGTTTCTTTTTTTGTTTTTTAGCATTTTTTAATTTTGAAAGAAATTCAAACTTACAAAAAAACTTGCATTTTAAGACTAAATTGCTTTATAGGCTCTTCATTCAGATTAATCAATTATTAAAAGTTTGCCCCATTAACTTTCTCTCTCCTTTACACATATATGTATTTACTATTACTGAACTATTACAAAGCAAGTTGTGAAAATCCTGCTCTTTTAACTCTAAATACTCCTGCATGTATCTCCTAAGAATACGACATTATCCTATATGACCTACCCAGTGTGATCTGAGAATTGGGAAATTTAGCAAATGACAATATTATTATCTGAGAGTCAGTGTGCAGATTTTGCCTCCTACCTCAGTTATGTCCGTTACGGCCATTATTTTCTGATGTAGTATTCCAATGCAGGCTTGTGTGTCCCATTTGGACACGGTGGCTCTTGTTCTTAATCTGAAAGAGCTCTTTCTTCAGTGTTTCTTTTGTCCTTTGTGAGTGACATTTTGGAATAGAGTCCGGCTGTTCTTTACAATGTCCCTTGGTCTGGGTTTGTCTGATGTGTCCTTATGATGAGATCCATATGAATTTTGGCTGCCTAAGTGATGTCTTTCTTGGCACATCACATCAGGTAGCACACGATATCAATTTGTCCCATTACTCTGATCACTGGGTGAAGGTACATCCTGTGCCAAGTTTTTGCACTGTGAAACCACCAGCTTTCCCTTTGTAATTAATGTGTAATCCGTGGGAGGTGCTTTGGGAATGTGTAAATGTGCTCATCCAATGTTTAGCCAGGGTTCTTTGCATCTGTATGAGTTTTCTAGGGATGCCCTGATAGTATCACAAACTGCCTGGCTTGAAAGGACAGAAAGTTATTGTCTCACAGCTCTGGGGGACAGCAGTCTGAAACAAGGTGGTGCCAGCAGGGTTGGTTCCTTCTGAGGTGGTGAGGGAAGGGTCTGTTTCAGGCCACTCTCCTTAGCTGGTAAAGAGCCATCTTCTTCCCGTGTCTTCACATCATCTTCTCTCTACAGCCATCTCTGTGTCCAGATTTCCCCTTTGCATAAAGACGCCAAATTGAGTTAGGGGCCACCTCAATGTTTAGCTTTCACTTCTTTACTTCTGGAAAGACCCTGTCTCAAAATCAGCTCACATTCTGAGGTTCTTTGAGTCCAAGAATACCCATCTGTGAGACACGATTCAACCCATAAATGGTACACTGTATCCCTCCAGGGACATTCCCGGTGTTTGCCCAGACAGAACAGGATATCGTGAACCTCAATGTTCATGATGAAACCCAAATGGCATTGACTCCTGTCCCTGTTTTCCACAAGTCAGTGCTAAGCCTGAAATCACCTAAGATGTCAGTACTGAGCTTCCTCTGCCGTCCATCTTCAGGGCTGTGCACTGTACACTCACTGGTATTTAGAATGACTCTCTCCTCTGTGCTGGAGACTTTGAAGTGGGTTTGGTTTGCTGTTCACCAGGCGAGTACAAGCTACGTGAGCCTGTCAGTGCACTAGAGCAGAGCTCACCAGCAGCTGAATTCTTGACGGTATTTATTTCTTGCAGAAACAAGTAGTCCATTAGGGAAAGTGGCTGGTCTCTTGGAATGTTGTTTTGGAGCCTGTATCTGATATCCAGGCGAATGAATTCCAAAGCATATACTCAGGGTGTTTGCAATAGAGACTCCAGGCAGGGACGAGGGACCTGAAGGCGGGTGAGATGCTTCCAAAGGGTGGAAGGTCAGAAAAGAGGAAGAAACAAAGAGCCAGTGACCTGAGAACTCTGTGCTAGGAGATGAAGGAAGATGGGGTGGGGCACGTTCCCTGCAGTTTGAGGTGTCTTTCTCTTCAAAATGCTAGTTCTGTGACCTTCACCTGCATTACATCCTTGTGTTGGAATGAGCAAAGCCTTAGAAAGACATTCACTGGCTTCCCTTGGTTTCTTGATCAGGTCACAGACATAAAAGAGAAATTGAAGCTCTCTAAAAAGGTCTGGTCGGCATTACCCTACGCCATCTGCAAGGACGAGCGCGTGACAGCGGGCACTTCCAACGAGGAGGAGTGCTGGAATGGCCACAGCAAAGCCAGGTGAGGAGACGCCATGTCCGATTGGGGCACCACACACTCCCCCTGGAAGACCCCGGCACAACTCCGCAGACCTGTTTATGCAAAAAGCAATGGAAGGTGGAAGGACACTGTCACTCAGCCACAGTTGTTGAGAATGACAGGTTTGATGGGCACCTGGGAGCACTTACTCTCAAGGTGCCATTAAGCTTGGAATCCTTGCCCTGGATGCCTTGCCAAGGGATGGGCACAGAAGGATGGTGACAGGTGCCAGGTTACACATAGCCTGAGAGCACAAAGAGCCCTTTTGTGTTCACTTAATGACTTTAAGATAGCAGAGCTGTTTTTATCCATAGTTAAATTTACAGAGCCACTTTTACTCTTTCTTCCCCCATCGGGAGTTAAGCAGGAAATGAAAATTCAACTGGAATATTTATTTATTATTTATTTGCACCCTTGGAGGAAAATAAATCCAAGTGTTTATTGAAAAGATTTTTTTTTAAATGGTGAGGGATAACTGGGTAAAAGATTTAATAGCCCCCGTGTCTTGGGGAGTCCCCTCCAAACCTCCCCGGCACCTCCTGATAAGAGATGGTTCTGTTTCCGTCTTCCTGCCCTGCTAATCCTGGCTAGGACCACTTCATAAGGAACTGCTGCCTGTGTTGGTTCATCTCAGAAATGGGCGTGGCCTGGGTTCTCACAGGGTGGAGAAGTTGGATGGGGAACTGGCTGGGAGTTGGCAGACAGAACCAGAGGAGGGGGATCTGCCAGAGCCCAGCTGCAGGTGAGTGAAGCAACTGGTAAACTGGACTCAAGAAACCTTTGGGGGTTGAACAGCAGGTGGAGAAGCCAAGAGGGGACTCTATTCTGGGGCCTCTTGGGCAGTTTCAAATGTTTGAAGCAGCTGGGATCCGAAGGGAACAAGAAGGTACGTTTGGGAGCCTCCATGGAAGGTAAGCTGGAGCGCAAGCAGGGCGAGGTAGGTGTCATTTCCCACACTGCCGCCTGGTGCTTTTCAGCATCCATTGGTAATGGTGTTATTAACCACAGCAGGAAGAGCTTAGTTAGCCAGGTGAAACCACCACAGCTACAGAAAGAGTTGCCCAAAATACCACTATCCAAATCTTGGATCACAGGAGTACAGAAGGAAATTCCTGATATTAGGGATGTGCCATTCAAAAATATTGAGTATTGTAGTGTCTGGCCATTTAAGAAGACCTCTGGCCACACTCCAGCTGTGAACGGACGGCTCTGAATGTTCTTTTCTCAGTGTCTCTACAGAAAGCCTGGAAAGGAGCAGGTGACCTGATGAGCAAGTGCTGGATTTTTCCAGCTGCTCTGTTGCCCCTCTGCGTTCACCGTTCAGCCCTGGCTAAAATGAAGGCTGTGTTTTGAACTGCATTCACATAGACAGTCATGCATGTTGCTGGATCTTAGCACATATGTGGTTTCTTACAAAAGGAAATAAGCATGATTGTGGATAGTGGGAGTGACTAAACACCATCAAGAGAATGAGTGGGAGCAAAGACCATTGAAGGAGAGCGACAGATCACCTTACCTCTTAAATAATCAGCCACTAAATACCCCCTCCCCAGGCTCAGTGAAGAAATGAGATGGATCCTTATCTCTAGAAAAGACTGAGTGGGTTTACATCATTCATTCAGCTCCTCAATACATCAGCAATATCATGAAGTGAGACACTACCTATAAGATTATAAGATGCAGGTACTATAAAATGGTAGTGGGGTCAGTGTGTGAAAAGGAACGGTAACTAGAGAGACGACAGGGGTCCGGGAGGTCCAGGAGAAGACGGAGATCCAGTACCATACCACTGAATTGCAGGTTTACCATATAGGAGGGTGAACACTTGAATCAGTACCTAAGAGCCACATTTTAATTTTATCCTGTGACCAACAAGAAACATTAGAGGATTTTATACAGTGGAGGAAATGACTAAAGTTTAATGCAATAAAGTCACTTGCAGAAATATTCCAGAATTTAACCCAATACACTGTCCCTTTCATTATGCAATAAGTATATTATTTAAAAAGATGAGGCTGTCAAATATTAGTGACTCAAATTGTGTTCCCCTTGAAAAATTACAATTTTATGCTTCCTTTTAGTTCCTATTTTTATTCTTCTGCTGAAAGGAAGTCTTAATATTACAACTTTACATTGACTAGCAGAGTAAATAGATAGCCAATGAAGACTTGTTGAATTAAATTTAGCTGAAGTTTTCTTCTCTTGCAAATAATTGATCTAGAAGCACACGAGATAAGTTTCTCAATTAAAGAAATTCTACTGAACTGTTTTGAAAGTTAAAGAATCCATCTGATCATGAGAGGTTAATCAATGGGTGCTAAGTTACTATTAGAAGAAATAGATTCTGGTATGTTCTTGCACAAAAAGGTGACTGTAAATATCAAAATGTATTATGTTTCTAAAAAGCTAGAAGAAAGGATTTTGAATACTTTCACCATAAAGAAATGAGGAGAAAGAGATGCTTACCCTGATTTGAACATTATATGTTTCCAAACATCACATGGGACCCCATAAAGAATGCACAACTTTTATGCATCAATTAAAAAATAAGAGTAAAGAATTCATTGTAATGCAGATCATTACATTTTCCCCTACTTTTGAAGTATAGATTTTAAAATGACAGACATTTTTAAATGTTTATGAATAGTTGTAAAACCAAGAAAAATGAAGTAAGAAAGGTTATTCTTATCTCCTGAGTTAAATGAAAGAAATAGAAACTTTATTTTTTAAAAAAAAAAAATCTATCGACACATTCATGGATATGGACCAGAGTCATCTCTAAGGATTGATGGAGTGTCGTGTCTGGAGTTTATGCATGAGAATCTGTGTACTGAGGTCTCCCATGAGCTAGACAGTCTCCCTGTCTATATGTTTCGTCCATCAGACTCTCAGGCACATTCTCCATTTGTACCACTCCTACAGCCCTTTTGTTCTAAGTATTTGATCAGGCTTGTCTTCTGTCACTCATAGTTTCCCAATTATTTTTTGTATTCTCCTCCCCAGCTGTTTCCCATATTTCCTTGATTCAGAAAGATGCCTATTGCAGATGCTAATGTTTCTGAAATCAAAATGACTCCTATAGTGGATATGTCCATTTATTCTAGTGATTACCTTATTTTCCCAGAAAGCTATGATTAAATTAATGGTACCTGCTGAAATTGAGGATGACTTGAACTATGACAGGAAACACATAGATGTGGTAGGGCTGAAACCATAGGGTGGCTGAAAATAGTTTGTAAATTCTAGAACAATGCTGCTCAAACTTTGGTGTACAGGCTCAACTCTTGGAAACCTTGTTAAAATGCAGATTCTGATTCAGTAAGTATGGCGGGATGAATGTCTGTGTCCCCTTAAAATTCTTATGTTGAAATCCTAACCCCCAGTGTGACGGTACTTTTGGAGGTTATCGGGTCATGAGAATGGAAGCCTTCTCTGTGGGATTAGTGCCTTTATAAAAAGAGGCAGGAGAAAGACGGTATCTCCTCCCCTCCTCCCCTGTGAAGACAGAACAAGAAGGTTGCCATCTGCAAAAACCAGGAAAAGAGATAGTACTAGACATGGAATCTGCCAACCCCTTAAATTTTGATTACCCCAAACCCCAGGACCATGAGAAATAAGCGTGTATTGTTTAAGCCCTTCAGTCTCTGGTATTTTTGTTATAGAAGCCTGAACTGACAAAGACAAGAAGTTCAGGTGGGACCTGAGTAAGAATCTGCATTTCCAACAAATTCCCAAGTGATGCACTTATTGCTGGTCCAGGAACCACACTTTGAGTAACAGGCTCTGAGGCAGAGTTGCCAGAACTGGAACTTTAAAATACGAGATGAAAAATGGAACACACTTATACTTAAAAAAAATTCCACAGTGTATGTGAAATTCAAATTTAACTGGCAGCCCTGTGTTTCATCTGCCAGCGCTACCCTCAGCTCCTATCGACATGTAAGATATTCCCTTTCTCAGTTCTCACACCAGCCTCCAGGAGCATGTCCCAGTTTTCTGTTTTCCCTTTGCCTTCCCAGGTACTTTTGATGTCAGCTTTAGACTTTTCTTGTATTAAAAACAACAGCAATATAGGCAGGGAGGTCACATAGTTCAGTTGTGTGTCACCCACTGGGTAGAGGCAAGGTTGACATCATCTTGACTGAAAATTGCTTAGGCTTCACAAGTGCATCAAGAGAGAATGTAGGCTGGAAATATTGCAGAACCTTCACAATGCAGGGTAGAGTTCATACAGACTTCTGGTCTCAAATGGTCCATTGTGATGACTGGCAAGAATCACTTTTGATTCCTGAATCGTTGGTCAGTACTTGAGTCAATGAATATCTTAGTCAGCTCTAGATGCTATAACAAAAATACCATAGATACAGAGGCCTGAACAACAGAAATTCACTTTGCACAGTTCCAGAGGCTGGGACATTTAAGAGCAGGGTACCTTCAAGGTTGGGTTCTGGTGAAGGATCTCTTCCTAAACATCCTGTAGATGGCCACCTTCTTCCCCATCCTCATAAGGTGGAAAGAGAGAGGTCTCTTCCCTTTCTCTTCTAAAGGTACTAATCCCATCACAGGGCCTCAAAACTCATGACTTTACCCAACCCTAATTATCTTCCAAAGACCCACCAAATAAATACCACCACGCTGGAGATTCGGTGTTGACCACACTGATCTTGGGGCATGCAACATTTGTTTTGTAGCAGTTGGGACTTATAATAATCACATCGCACTCATCAGAAGAGTTAATTCAGGATTTTCCTTAGAATTCACAGCAGCCTCTGTCACCTGAGAAAGGCAGCATCAGACGCATCTTCAGTGACCAGAAGGAAAGTCCATTTGCAGGTGTAACTTCTCCGTCTCCCATTTTCCACTGACCTAAGCAACGTCTTAGGGGGAAATAGGAGAAGACACAGGAACACTCTGACTCCACACAGACAAATAGGAACTGAAAAGAAGCTAGTAAGTTACAGAGGAAAATCAATAATAATCTA